AGCAAATATACCTCGTAGTGGTAAATGAGAAAGAAATACAGGATGTGAATGTCTAACATCAAAAAACTCATCCAACATGTACACATAGCACTCATCATACGTCATAACTACATGGCAGAAGATATATCAAATAATCAAAACAGAACCATGCCCTTACAGCAGCTAAAGCAGGCCATGGAGACTCGGCTGATTGCCATTGGCCTTTGAATCACAACATTTAAAATCTGGATTGCCTTGAGGCGGAATGAGAGGGATTGGCATTGCTAGAGTCTCGTCCGACTGCGCAGTGCCAGGGATTACCAAAGACGATGATTTTAGCGCAGAAAGCAATTTGTATACAGTTGCCCGACGCACAACGTTTCTCCTTGCAGTCAAGTTAATCTCTTGGAAATCAAGTCTTGGCCTCGACCGCATCGGGTACCGGTACCGGGGACCTTCAGCTAGCCGATGGAATGGTCTATCAAGGTTTGCCCACTTTCCGACTTTCATGAAATCTTACGGTTTATCTCCTACCAGGTAGGATTAAAGTATATCACAATGAAATGTCACGAACAGGAGATGTGAGGATTTCGGTAACTCAGCACACGCCACAGCTTAGCCTGTGGCTCCATCTGGCCATTGGCCATGTGGGAGTAGGGGGGGTTTCATTTATCCTCTGATGCGGGCAAGGAAACTGTCCAGTAGCGAAATAGAACGTATGAACAATATATAGGATATGTGATCCTCCAAGCCACAGTAGTGCCCAACCAATGCCCGAATTTTCCCAAAATTCCCAAATCTGCGTTTGAGCCAGCTAGTCGCATCGGGCTGGATAGTTAGGAACGTATTCACCATAACCCTGAGGCCACGCACCTAGGAAAAACTGATGGAAAATTCTGTGGCGGAAAACCTCGACCGTTCCTCCCGTACTAGTTTTCGATGAGTAGCCACAGTCATATCTAAATGCGTTGTGTAAAAAAATTATGCTACCGCCTCTACAAGGCCCAGCCAGTACCTGAACACTTATGCCAACAGCTTATTATAAGCGATATTATCACTACTTAGATATTTGATCAGTTGGTCCCTTGGCTCTACCTATCTGAGACGGTCGTGAGAGTTCTTCGCTCGAGTGGTCCCGGGCTAGAAATACCACCTGCGCGGCTCATGGAGCTCTCCAATCATGGTTACTGGAGCCCGTGGCATTTACTTCACTGATTATCTAATTATATGTATGGTATCAAAATATGGTTCTAAGGAGCTCAAGCGAGGCTTCTTTTATCTGCTCAATCGTCGTCCTTTCTTGGTCTGTGAATACACTGGACATATAGGTCTTCTCCACCTTCAAGCCAAGGATAACTATGCCTGTAGTATATCTCCTCCTATACCTCCCACATAGCTGCCTTCAAACATTACGACCCCTCAAAAGTCCTCATTCGATCATATACTTAGAGGAGCCCTTCGTCCTTCATTATCTCCCCACTCCAGCCAACGAAACGATGGCCAATTGCGGGTATATGGCACCCAGGAAAAATCGCAAAATTCACTGGGTGCGGAGCTCTCCTAATACCGACATTAGGACTAAATCCGAAGACATAGTGATCCTTCTGAGCGTTCGAAGAGACAGGCAAACTGGGCTTTGAAGACTTGTGTGTACCTCGGGAAATTCACACTCTGCCTTTCTAGTCTCCTTCGCGAAGGTCGTGCTGAAATGTCAGAAAAGTCTTGACAGAGCGTGGTTACTGTATGGTAGCTTAGCCCAACTTCTTTTGTGCCGTCTAGGGCGCTGGGGAATGCCGTTGACTCATCGACAAAAGAAGCCCTCCTGGCGAATTAGCCGAAATCTTGGTCGTGGTGCTCACAAAAAATTCAAAGTTGAAAACTCCTAGAAAATATCAGACCCAGCATGCCTACGAGAAACCTCTTCCCTCAATTATTTCATATCCCAGTTACTTGTACTTGAGTTGTGTAGCTCCATGAGAGCAAGGGTCTCCACAAGCCAAAACTCGAAATTTCTATTTTATGGCTTAGTTTACACCATGCAGGTGTAAATAGTGTTATAAATTTGGTAATTGGTAATAACCGGTAGTCAATAAGGCAAGCTTCTGTTTGAATCAGCAGTAAAGTCTTTATCGGTCTTTTTTTTTTTTGCATCAGATTTTAATTGCGTATGCAGCTATCTAGCTATGACACAATATCAAAGAAAAGTACAGAATAGATGATTCAACGTAAAGGAAGAGCACTCATGCCTCGGATTTCATTTGCAAGTACCACTGCGAAGTTATGGTGGCTTTTTCTTCTCCCCAAGTCAACCCTCATCCGTGAATACCCACCCAGGGGAACGTCTCAAAAACCCTGAGTTATCCAGACATGCCTCTATCATCTTTCAACTTTTCTCCGCGCGATATGTGATCTGAGGTGTCTCCTTCCCAAGTGGAGTAGGTGCCCAGGCTACTCAAACCATACCAGAGAACACCACCAGGAGGCGGATCACAACACCCTCCATCGTCTGCTTGTTTTTATAGTGTGAGCTGCACTCTCGCAAGCGAAGCCTTGGCGCGCACAAAGCTCAATTTGTAAAATCTCCTTTCCAAATTTTCAAAATTCCACGCCCTTCGACTGTATCTATCCTTTGCATCATCTTGTGAACTTGTCCTGAATCTTCTCACGCCAATCCAAAAGAGCTGTCTCCCAGTTTTGTGCGCCACGCTTTGCTTCCTCCGTCGGGTACAAATATCGGCGTGGGCGTGTATTTGGTGACCAGCTGAGGCCAGAGAAAGTCGACGAGAGGTGTGATCATTGGAATGAGGCTGTACTATGTCGTACCTGTAGACTTGATGAAGCTTAGTTGAGAATCGGACTCTTTGGGGGTGAAAGATTGACATGGTGGAGTAATTCGAATTTTTGCCTCGTGGGCCAACTTCTTTGATATTGCGAAATTTGACTGAACTTGGCTCTGGGAGAATATTTCACTCTCAGGTTCATAGAGGACACCGCGTACAGGTGTTCAGTCTTGCCCTCCTCTTTATCGGACGTCGAGGCGAGTTGGTGTGCGGTAAAATTGAGTTAGAAGACTCGCGCGAGAAAGAATGATCTGACATATTTGAGAAGTTATCGAATATAGATGTGCTTGAAATTGCTTTCCACTCTGATTCGTATGCGACTCCTGGCTATCACAGAATGCAGAGTATGCTGAGAGATTACACTAGCATCGCTGGAGGGTGAAAATTTATTCTTAATCGGCAAGCAAGACGTGTTATTGCAGAAGCACGAGTCCAAGATATTACTGACTTCGAAGTGCCAGAAAAATAGTAGATGAAGCCAAAAGGAATATCTAGATAAACTGCGCCTCTTCAAATTTTTTAACAATTATTTTCGCAAGAAAGTGCTGGATCATATATCTAATCTGGGCCGGGCGCATTGTACAATGATAATTTTCCATCGATTTACGTCAACTAGACAATCCTCCATAAACGGATCTTCACCATAACTATCGAGTCAAGCTACCCTTGGGAAGGAGACATCTCAGATCACATTTCGCGCGGAGGAAAGATAATGGATGACGGAGGCATATCTGGATAACTTAGGGTTTATGAGACGTTGCCCTCAGTGGGTATTCACGGATGAGGGTTGACTTTGTGTGAAGAAAAAGCCACCGTAACTTCACAGTGGTACTCGCAAATGAAATCCGAGGCATGAATGCTCTTCTTGTAAATTGAGTCATCCATTATATACTTCTCTGATGTTGTGTCATAGCTAGATAGCTACATACACAACTAAAATCTGGTGCAAAAAAAATGTCAAGCTACCTCCTTAAAAATTAGAGTGATCTTACTGGTGAAACAAGTATCTTGCTGGAAGATAAAAGTCTACGGTCCAGGCATTTCCGTGGTATGAGGGCGAATGAAATTAGCTGAGAGTGTCTTGATCAGAGGTTCATACCCCCAACAGCATGCTTTGAAATGAAAGTAGAATATCGTCTTGAGTAAATGCTCTCTATCTACGGGCTCAATAAGCCCCATAGCTGCAGGAATTGTAGGGCCTCTCATCTGCTTCGTGATATGAACCCATTAGAGCAGTTTGAAAATAAACTTGCTAGACAATTGATTCTCTCTGCTCTTGTGGGAGCTTAAGTACGAGTGAAGCTGGGCTGGGTCAGATTAACGTTAATTACATAAACCTCGTCACACCTGATTAACAGGATCAACTCAGACTTGACCCATGTGTCGAACACGACAAGCCTAAACGTCCAGAGAGCGCGACTTTGGCACTATCCCATTCCAAAACCATTCCCATCCGTTCAGTATAAGATGTAAATCATTTCGTCTAAATTTTTTTCCTAAATGAGGACCCCAGTCTGTCGCCCACAGAGGTCTCCTCGGCTTCGCATCTATTTTTACCTACCATTGTAGAATTTCCTTGTACAATCTGTCAATATATCCATTATTAAAAACATGAAATCCGTTGCGAGTTTGCACTAGGATCATCGCTGTCGTTCCCCTAGCTATTTAGGTCGAGTATATTCCGAAGAGCTCGAGATCGGGGCACTGACGTATCTGTTCTTATCGAATACATTGGGTAATGAGACGGCGAATTTCATCGCAGTTCCAATTACTGATATGCCTGGGTGAGTAATAGACTGATACAAGGCCAGTACTTCGTCCTACCTTAGCAGTGTATAGTAGTTGCGGAGAAATGAAATTCTGCTTACATCTTAATTTGTACTTTTGTATTCAAGATTTGGGATTGCTTCGGTGGACTGTGCGATAATGATTAAGAGAGCTACGGATTGGGTTTAACTGAGGAAGGTCTTTTGGGAAAATTATAGAAAGTGGAGAATGTGTGTTGTTGCGACACAAACCCCTAAAGAGTTTAAGCCTGTCAGCGGTCCATATTTGGTGTCTGGCTAATTGAAGTCAATGACATGTTAGGCATGTAATATCTGATGACCGGCTTGCCGAACATGAATTTGTCAATGCAAATGCCAGTCCTTTTATTTGACATTTCGACAAAAATCATCAGAGTCATCTTTGGTCGTCATGGAATCTCGGCTTTGGAGAAATGTTTTGACCCCTGAGTTGGTAAAGGGCGTAGCGTACAGGTATTTTATATCGATCCTCCATTATCTGCGCAGTTGAATGGGTCAATTTGAAAGAATTATTCTTGATGGACTTAGACCAGCCCAGGTTGAGGCGACTAGCGTATTTTAGTATGGCCATGGACGTTAGCTTATACTCCATGGCAGCCGCGACTGTAATATATCGGCCGATACCGTGCGCAGCCTGCATTCGCAAGCGTGGTCTTGACCCCTAGATTTCTCTATCCAGGATCTGGTTGCACTGCGGGTAGATGGGGTGGACCCCTCTTCTTTTGCCTATAATATTTGGCCCGGCTTCCCCTAACTCCAACGCATTCCAAGTCTCACGGGCTACGCGCGCCCCCTCTCGACAACGATTAGAGTGAGACGCACCATCAAGTGTCCTAGAAGCGACGCGTCCCCTCGTAGGCCTCGGATAAGCAGCTCTACCACCTCACCATATCGCCATCGCTGAGTATTACATCAAAATATTGGGCACATCTGCCTCTTCCCGACAAGCATGGCCGCAGTTATATCGACATGGGTGGCGAGGCTTCGTTAGGGGCTTCCGCTCATGTCCAGCGTGACCCCCTGACATTTTTCTTCAACCCGCTATTTGTCTGTGAAGTTCGGACAGACGGACCACTCCCCTGATATGAAGAGGGGCCCCTTTCCCCACCTTCGAGGTCAGCCAAGGCGCGCGTCCAACAGTAGATCGCAGGCCCCCCGTGACGCCCAATTCCACACGTTGTAGTGCCCCCTCCTTTCATATAAACGTCGAATACCTCGGACTTCATGCCCTTGATCTGCAGGCAGCACCGCGTGATCTGATCCTCATGCCATCTAGACCCTTTCGCCCCTGACCTTCCCATACCCACTCTGTGGCTTACATTGGCTATTTATCCCTTCTCCTATTAATGTCTCTACATTTAGCCTCCATCAAAGGCATTCTAGCCTGCCTCTACTTAAGGGTTTGCTCCTGAACAGTTTTACTTCTTGCAGACTCAATATTAAGGGCTTGTGAGTCGTGTTCCCATGATTATGTAAGCTTAAGATTAGACTGTTATCGAATATTACATCGCCCTTTTGGATGGTGCATCATGGAACATATGTTCTTAGTATGTTGGTGAATGACTCTTCCTACATTCATTTTAGTCGAGTACCATGCAAAGCAAACTTGTCTTAAACATATTTGGCTGGTATTCGAAAGTCACGCGTAACAGTTCACTGACAGGCTAAAATTAACAAATACTTTACCTCATGATGTTATGATAATAGCTTTGTACTTCATCAAATTCTTGGTTTCCCGTCTGAGTTCAGTTTTTGTATTGCTCAAGTAAATTCCTTCCAAGCCTACCTTATACTAGCATTCATAAATGAACTGAACTACACGATCAAGAGGTTTCACACTATTTGCGATGAGCCTCTCTTTTCTCGTTGGCATTTGATAATGCTCCTACTCGCTTTCTCTACATGATTGTGTACGTGGAAGTATAAGAGCGTGAGCTACATGCAAGTTAGACTAATCTAAGTGCTCTGAATCCCTTGGTGCATAAACACAGGCAGAGCAGTCCCAATCCTATCAAATTGCGCCAATACGTAACGTGCGAGTACAGGCGGTGGCTCTTGAGATTCCGATATCGAATAGAATTCTTGACGCCAAGAACAGAAAATGGTATTAAAACTAGCTCTGCTTGCACTCAGCCGTCTCAGTTTTCGGCTTTCCAGTATCGTCCTATTGTTGAATATTAGAATGGTTTAATCATCATATTTAAGAAGTAGAGCCTACATTTTCATCTGACTCCTCATCGTCATCGTCGTTAAAATCACGATCCTCGTCATCATCCTCATCTTCAAAGTCGCCTTCCTCAATATCCTCATCTATCTCCTCAAACTGTAGTGCTTCACCGGTGAACCAATCAACGGCGCGAGGAATAAGCTTCTCCTTAATGTCTTCACCAATTTGATAGTCAAGTTCCATTCTAACTTCAATGTCGGTTGCAGCGTCGTCGTTATCTTCGGCTGTGGGAACCGTAGGTGGAGAGAAGAAGTTAAAAAAGGAATCTGTTGGTACAGTCTTCTTAATAATACGAGTTTGTTTCGTAGCTGTTCACGTTAGTTGAAGTACATATTGGCTTTGAAGGGGCGTACTTTTGTTTCGTTGCTTTTTGCTCTCAATGCGAACCGTTAAGTCTTTATTTTCCTTCCAATCAATCTTATCACCCTCGGCATGGTCGTAAATAAAGTCTCCGCCATACCCATTTTCGTGTTGGTAGTAGTAAGTTTTGGTGAGTGTCTTGTTAGTGAAATATTCATTTTCGGAAAATTCAAAGACAAGTTTAAATCCAGCTTTTTCGAGATATTCCATTCGAAGATCTGTAAGGTCTTTGAGTACTGCCTCATCCTTGTCTGTGATCATATCTGCTAATGATACCTGGTTTTTCATGGCAGATAACCAGAATTCAGGTATTCCTTTCACGTCAGAGGGTTCCTTAGGTTTTTCAGCTAACTCTTCTTTGTCTTGATCTTCCTCATCTTGAACACCTGCGTTGACCTCATCTTCGGTGGGCTCGGCGTTTCCGCTAACAATTTGGGAACGCCTGATATATAATGGCGTGAATTTGCCGAAGTATTTTTTCTCAACTTCTAGAACCTCCGCTTGAAACTGTGCCTCTAACTTAGAGTGATCTTTCTGTATGCCTTTAAGGCCCGCGACACGACGGCGAACGTCTGTGGGAAGAGATTCTACGTAGCCTGATGATCTTCCAACGAGTGAACCTAGTTTACCTTGTATCATTTGGACTAGTTTTGGGTTGTGCGCAAAGATTGACGCCGATGCCGTACGATCTAATTCTTCTGTAAAATATATTAATTTGCGAGAAGATATGGGCGGGTAGGAAGAGGATTTTCTGACCTTCTTTTATCGTACCAACACCGGGCTGCTGCGCGTGTGACGAGATTGGGGCATTGTTAGCAGGTGTATTTTGCGGTGTTCTATTTGCGTTGTCAGATATAGTACATCCATCAACATTTAATCATTTGTGCTGCTCACGGTGCAGTGGAGTTATTGCTTTTCTTGGGAATTTCGGACATCTTTCAGGAAGATGGAGAAATAGAAAGGGTGTGATCTGTTGCGTTTATATATCAAGGCGTTAGATTTAGAGTGTGATGGCCAACAAGTGTTTTCTGCTGAATGATCGTGGTGGAAAGCCCTGATGTAAAGAATTGGAGAAAGTTGAGCGTTGAGTTTGTACTAGGATTTAGCTTGGCGCTATGATGTGGGGCAAAATGTCTTTCGCGTGCGCAAGGCTCCAATCGATCACACTGGTTAATTATTTACATTTGAGTCATGCTAGAGAACGTTAGATGCAAGCTGTTCGAAAATATTCAGTGAACACACTAGTAAACTGGAATGCCCCAAAAACTTGTCATATTTCAGTAGATATGTACACAAATTACGAAGAACAAATGAACGTCACTAGGCGGCATCAGAACCATTATGAACATGGCCCGTCTGACAGTCACCCGGATGCATTAATCAGACGAAATTCAACGCAGTCATGCGTCAGCTTTGCTGATACTGTACAAATGGCTCAAGATGAGGTCTTTGCTGGACCAATGGGCGAAAGTGTTCCAACAAGCTTGTCATCATTCGCGCATTTTAGAAGTCGCGCAGATTCCACCACTAGCTTCACTTTTCACCAAGACGACGATGATAATCAAGAGCCATACGACAGTCCAACGGTTGATGAAGACTCTGAATCAGACTCTAGAGAAATTCTTATTGATTTGGAAGCAGGTACGCTGCCGCCACCAGGACCAAGATTCTCTGATCCATCGCAGCTCTCCGAATACGACGAACTTTTAGGAAACAACCACAAAAGAACAAGCATTAGCCATGTTTATCGTGACAACAGATTTAGCCAAAAGCTACATCTCCCTTCAGACGATCTCACTATAGTGATAGCGGGTTTCGATACTTCCACAGCTAGATATATCTTATATCTCATTATTTGTCTTGTTTCGTGTGGACTCGGGTATTTAATTCTACGCTGGCTGCCACGATGGAAGGTTCGCCTGATAGGAAAGTCTTGTCAATTACAATGTTGCGATTGGGTGGCTATCGAGGTCAGTCGAATTCCCATAGGTGATCCTCAGGACCAGCTAGAATATCAAATTGCTCTAGTATTAATACAAATTGTTAATCTAGAATCAAAGAGGAGATTTTATTACACAGCGAATAGACTCCAAGAAATATGGTCATCCATTATCCACAGTTTTTGGAATATCTAGGTTGATGCACAGTTTCCAAGATGAAGAAGAAGATCCCATAATGGAAAAGTTACGCGTCCTAGAATATCGTTGCTTGAGGTTTTCATTTCACCCCTTGAAAGATGAGTTTATCTTAAATAATAGCTGGAAAGATCCAGCCTGGACCGACGTGAAATCTATCCGGGCCGGCATTGCTGGTGACAAAAAGGAAACTCGTGAACTGGTATTTGGGAAGAACTTAATAGATATTAAAAATAAGCCTCTAATGCAACTATTGATCGACGAGGTTAAACGAATTAATCGCTACATGACCAAAAATTAACGGTAAATAGGTATTCCACCCATTCTACATTTTCCAAGTAGCCAGTTTGATCTTATGGTCACTCGATCAATACTTCTATTATGCGACTTGCATCTTCCTAATATCGGTAATTAGTATCGTCACAGCAGTTTTTGAGACTCGGTCCGTAAGCTTTATTCAATATCCATCACATGAATTTGGCTAAACTACAGCAGTCAATGAAGAGACTTAGTGAAATTACCAAAATGGAGTGTGATGTTCGCGTTTTACGAAATTCATTCTGTAAGATGCATATCTCATTATTGACCTTGGAAAAACACGTTAACAAATATGATCAGGGCGATACGTGGAAGCTAGTGACCTTGTGCCTGGAGATATCTTTGAGGTTACAGATCCTGCTCTAAGGCAATTTCCTTGTGACAGTATCTTGTTATCTGGTGACTGTGTAGTAAATGAAAGCATGTTGACTGGTAAAATTCTAGTATCACTCATGTTTTCTTCCGCTTAATTTTCACAGGGGAATCAGTTCCGGTATCGAAAATACCAGCAAGAGATGAAACCCTTCGAGATCTCAACTTGAACGCTCCTTCAATTTCACCAGAAGTCGCTAGACATTTTCTGTATGGTGGAACAAAGATCGTACGGGCGAGACGCCCTCAGGATCACCGAGAAGACGAGGCCGTAGCACTGGCTATGACGGTTCGTATCGGTTTTAACACAACCAAAGGTGCCCTCATCCGCTCAATTCTTTTTCCAAAACCATCTGGGTTTAAATTTTATCGAGATTCCTTTCGATACATCTCAGTTATGGCTGGAATTGCTCTCCTTGGCTTTATTGTTTCTTTTATAAATTTTGTCCGTCTAAAATTAGCTTGGCATCTTATAATTGTTAGAGCATTAGACCTGATAACCATCGTTGTCCCGCCTGCCCTACCTGCTACTCTCACTATCGGTACAAACTTCGCTTTAAGCAGGTTAAGAAAGAAGAAAATATTCTGTATAAGCCCTCAAAGAGTAAATGTAGGGGGCAAGCTGGATTTAATTTGCTTCGATAAAACTGGGACTCTAACAGAAGATGGCTTGGATGTTTTAGGTATTCGAGTTGTTCTACCGTGCAAGGAACGGTTCAGTGACCTTTACACTTCGGCGCTTTCGCTACTTCCAGTACCATATTGTGAAGGAGTCACCGACACAGAATATTTTTCGCAAAATGCGGTTCTACACACGATGGCAACTTGTCACTCCCTTCGTGTTATCGGGCCAGAAATTATTGGAGACCCACTTGATGTCAAAATGTTTGAGTTCATCGGGTGGTCTTTGGAAGAAGGGCAAGAGGGTGGGGATGACATAGACGGAGAGGAACAGAGCAGCCTATCACCTTCAATAGTCAGACCACCTGTCATGGCCTGTGGACTAAATAACGACGAACGATTCTCAAGCGTGAGGGGTAACAAACTTTTGGGGCTACATCGTACTTACAAATTACAGAAATCTCTTGTTGAGCTGGGTATCCTAAAATCATTTGAGTTTCTACCACGACTTCGTCGTGCAAGTGTTATAGTAAGAAATCTTGGTTCTTTAGGATGTGATGTATATGTCAAAGGGGCTCCAGAATGTATGAGGGACATATGTAAACCTGAGAGCTGTACGTCAATCACAATCTGTGTTAAGAGTATATTCTTCAGAGCCTTCTCACTAACATATTATAAGTTCCTCCTGATTACGAAAAGCTTCTAGCTTATTATACGCACAGAGGATATAGAGTAATCGCGTGTGCCACTAAGCATATAGCTAAGTTAAATTGGGTCAAAATTCAAAAGATGTGTAGGACTCAAGCTGAATCAGAACTAAGCTTTGTTGGCTTTATCATATTTGAGAACAAATTGAAGCCTACAACTTGTGAAGTTATAAATGAGCTAACAGAGGCGGGAGTTAGGAAGGTAATGTGTACAGGTGATAACATTTTGACTGCCATCAGCGTGGCAAGAGAGTGTAACCTCATTAAGGAGACGGAACATTGCTTCGTTCCTCGTTTTTTTGAAGGTAAGAAAATTCCTAATAAAATGCGATTAACTGAGAAAAAATTAGGGCATCCTCAAGATCCCAATGCTCGCCTGCGCTGGGATAGTATTGATGAAGAATCATTCACCTTAGATGAATCAAATCTATCAGTAAGAAGCAATTCGTTCAGTATAATGATGTTGTAATTATAAAGCTTACGATCGTCCAGCCTATGCCACACATAGCCAGCATAAACCCTTGCGAGCCTGACAAATCCACATGTCGTTCGTACTCGTTAGCAATAAGCGGCGATGTATTTCGATGGTTGGTAGACTTTGCACCAGTAGATGTTCTCAACAAGGTCAGTTTGCTCCGCAAATATTTCTCAAGATTAGTGTAAACTGTCGTAGGTGCTTGTTCTCGGACAAGTATTTGCTCGAATGTCACCTGATGAGAAACAAGAGTTAGTCGAAAAGCTTCAAGGTATTGGTTACTGTTGTGGATTCTGTGGTGACGGTGCAAATGATTGCGGCGCTTTAAAAGCAGCAGATGTTGGAATTTCTCTCTCAGAAGCAGAAGCCTCTGTTGCTGCACCGATAACTAGTCAAGTCTTCGACATTACCTGTGTTCCTGAGGTTATCCGGTAACAAAATTCTAATATTGTTTCAATTCACTGAATGCTAATTCTGGGTTTCAGCGAGGGTCGAGCAGCATTAGTCACTAGTTTCAGCTGCTTCAAGTACATGAGTCTATATTCAGCCATCCAGTTTACATCAGTCACGTTTCTCTATGCATCTGCATCAAACCTTGGGGACTTCCAGGTACCTATAATACACTCAATTTAATCCTCGCGGTACACAAACTGACTTAGAATTATCTCAGTTCTTATACATAGATCTGATTATAATCTTACCAATTGCAATCTTCAGTAAGTGGTTGGCCCATTACATGAGGTTGCACCTCTAGACTAATATGATCCAAGTGGGATGGACGGGAGCCTATCCGGTTTTGTCTCGTAAAAGACCAACTGCCAATTTGGTTTCAAGAAAAGTCTTGGTACCTCTAGTAGGTCAGATGATTATATCTATATTATACCAATCAATTGGTTTCTTTACTGTTAGGAAACAAAATTGGTGAGTATAATACAAGCATTACAGTCTAATATTTGATACTTACACACCTAGGTTTATACCTCCTGTCCTTGATAAAAACAAATCAAATATTATGCATTCAGAGAATACGGTTCTCTTTTTACTATCATGTTTCCTGTACATATTTTCTAGTGTTATACTGAGTGTTGGACCGCCATTCCGACAAAGCGTGGCTCTGAACTGTACGTCCTACATTAGGGCAAGATTTTATTTGCTAACTCCACGTAGTACCTTTAATGACGGTGGTTATTGGTACCCTAATGTTTTCTACGTACATGCTCCTGTACCCTTCAGCAGCACTAATGAGATTCATGCAATTAACAAAAATGAGCAGAGATTTTCAAATTTTTATCCTTTGTTTAGGGGCTAGTTATCTGGTAGTCGCATGGTTATCAGAAGGTTACTTACTACCTTGGCTCTCTAGGTTCATGGGTAAGATAATGAATCGACGGAGTCCTAAGCAGAGGAAAATATATAAAGTCGTTTCTAGTAGTATGTAACTTTTGTAGCAAGGTTAATACTGTGTATTTTTGATTGAGATTAACGCCAATGTCTACTAGCTTGATAATAGCCAAATTACAAATAACTCAATAGATATCCGTGAATTAGTCTGAATCAAGTTTTCTCTTGCATGAGTTACATATTAGTGATCATTCGTGTTTGGTTTTCAAATCGCACGATAATGCTGTAATGACTCAATTATAATCTTAGAACGCTTCAAGAGGATCGCGTAAATCCCCTATAATATTATTGAATTTAGGAAGAGAGAAAAAGATGATAGAAGACCTAAAAGGGTAAAATGATTTGCTCATATTCGGCAAAAATAATATTCTAATATTTGCCCGCAAACAAACTCAGGTGAAAATCTGCATAAAAGCTACCTTGTTATATCTGAAGAACTTCTGCTCATGTATCCTATAAATGAAACAAAATCTTAGTATAAAAACTTAGATATGTCACGATTTACTGAGTTCTAGTTATAAAAAATGTCAGCTCCTGATAGAAATACGTGGGTCACGATTTAACTTTGAAATGTCATCTGGAAAGCCTTACTATTACGAATAGTTATCTAACACCAGACAAGGATAATAAGCAATAAATATCATATTCATCTACACTGGTGTCCACGCCATGAAGGTATTGCTGGGAATGAGCTAGCAGACAATCTGGCAAGATGTGAAGCCAAGAAAAATATCAATAAAAGAAATAATTTCATAACTATTGCTTACCTTAATCAGATGGCAAAGTAACTGACTCTCAAAGCCTGGCAAAATGACTGGGAAGGCTCTATCAAGTGCAAGTCAGGAATAGATCACCTATCATTAAAACGAGACCATACAACTTCAGTCAATACAGTAGAATGACACAATCTTCATATATAAAAGCAAGAACAGGGATTGGAAATACCAAGGCCCATTTATTTCGAGTTAAAAAAGTGAGGAATAACTCTTGCAACTTTTGTTGGAAGGGAAAACAGACTGTTCGACACTTACTTCTTTGTTATAGTAAGTGTAAGGAGGAAAGAAAGGATGATCTTTAAGCCATATTACCATTGAGATTAGAGATATTGTTTTATACCAAAATTGGAAAAGAAGCAACTCTCCACTTCCTTCAAGACACTGGATGCATTCATGCATCCAAAGCTGACTGAGAGGGAGGAGACTGGAAGATAAGTAGAGGGAATGGAGTATAAATATTTGTATTTAGATAAAAAAATCAGATGTGTCATAGCTAGATAGCTGAATATACTATGAATTAAAAAAAATATTACGAATAAAATTCATACTATCTAGACATACAAATCAGCACACGGATTATAACAAAGAGAGAAAACACCAGACAGTCCCTCTTTGAGGTTCTCTATCTATTAATATCTGCTAAGGATACAATCAGAGAATAGTTTCTACCGAGGAATTCAGTTCAAAGAGTGTATAAGAAGTCAGTCCCTGAATAGGAATTCTGACTGCGTCCATTACGCGTTATTTAATTTTCACAGTTTAACTCCAATTATTCACCCTTCATCTACACCAGTGTGACAGAAATCGAGTTGGTGAAGAATAAATCGATTTATTAAACTATTTGAGTAGAAAGGAGAACTCTAGCTACGGCTAACAGGTATTTATAATAATTGGTCCCCTTCGTCAATCTCCAGACTGATGACTTATCCTTAGGCAAAATACTTACTGCCCAGCCACGCATCACCAGGTGTTGTTTAGGTGTAGTAACGCTTCGACCTCCTGACTAGTAGTGCCGCCTCATTATATTCATCTTTTTGTTTTTAAATCATTTAATGTTTATGCAGCTATCTAGCTATGACACATGACCGGTGCTATGTAAACATGTGGGATGACTCTTTTGACGTTAGAGACACTCATACTCTGGATTTCATTCGCAAATACCACTACAAGGTATGCTTGCTTACACAAACAGTCGACCTTACTCCGTAAGTACCCACCAAAGGGAATTTCGGAACCTTTGGTTTCCCAAGCATGCCTTCGTCATCCATGCATACCAGCGCCGCGAGAAATGTGGTTATGTTTTGCCAGATTTGAACCAGCGATCTACTATATAAAGTGGGATATGTATCCAAGCTATCCAGACTCTACTTGGCAGACCGGCCAAGACGATGTACCACCGCACTATCCAACCATGGCGATGTTTATGGTGTCGCCTGCACTCTCGCAACCGAAGCCTTGGCGCGCACAAAGCTCAATTTGTAAAATCTCCTTTCCAAATTTTCAAAATTCCACGCCCTTCGACTGTATCTATCCTTTGCATCATCTTGTGAACTTGTCCTAAATCTTCTCACGCCAATCCAAAAGAGCTGTCTCCCAGATTTGTGCGCCACGCTTTGCTTCCTCCGTTGGGTATAAATATCGGCATGGGCGTGTATTTGGTGACCAGCTGAGGCCAGAGAAAGTCGACGAGAGGTGTGATCATTGGAATGAGGCTGTACTATGTCGTACCTGTAGACTTGATGAAGCTTAGTTGAGAATCGGACTCTTTGGGGGTGAAAGATTGACATGGTGGAGTAATTCGAATTTTTGCCTCGTGGGCCAACTTCTTTGATATTGCGAAATTTGACTGAACTTGGCTCTGGGAGAATATTTCACTCTAAGGTTCATAGAGGACACCGCGTACAGGTGTTCAGTCTTGCCCTCCTCAGCTTCATCTATCCTCCCCATGCAACCTTGTTGTAAATATTCCCAACAATATGCTTAGGTATTCACCTAAGCTCAAACAACGGTCAAACCGTAACAACCAGAAAATAGGAAAATGCAAAATCACAATAGAACCAGTTCCTCCCAAAACTATACTGAATTCATTAAAGAAAAGACATATTTACATGAAAAGTGCGACTTGAAAGATTAAGATTTCTGGGAATCATTCCAAGAAGATTTTGCTTCCTATACTTCCAAAAGATCTACCGCAGTACCTTGAACCATTATTCAAATGCTTCATACATTTCTTCGCAAACGTGGTATTTATGTTTTCAAAAATGCTAGAATTACAATATCCCAAATTCTATTCTAATTAATTCAACAAGAAGCGCTAAAAAGTTGGACCGACGAAGCTATTCATAACATCTATCATCCGACGGACTATTCATTTCCAACCGAGTTAATAACTTCATAAATAATAAACTCGAGTTGGATGGTGCAGTGGTACACCATTCGGGCCGCTCTCCCAAGTAGATTCTTGTTGGAAAATATACTCTGTACGATATTATATGGATAAATATGATGAAGTAAAGAAGACTTGATATTTTACAACTATGTGAACATTGGACTTATATATACATCTTAGGGGAGAAATTCCCACTAGTCTCATGTACCTGTCAAACCTAGTGATGACCAGCCACCTCTCATCTGCCATGATGATCTAAGGTACACTGTTGTACGTAAATATCCAATTGTAAATGCAACAGTAGGCGCGATTAGCGCACTCGTGACATATGTAGAGAGAGTCGATCTTGTCGGGAACCTGAGACGAAACAGGTGGTGGTTGAGTCCTAAATTCGAGAGTCAGAATTTCCAACAATTCTGGGTAGCTTGAACACCCACCCCATTTGAGACAGGAGAAAGCTGGTTAGAATCCAGTAAAACCCGCACACAAGTCTCTCTCGTGTTGATATTGTACTTGTGGGATGATAAAAGCACACTCGGATAACCATAGGCTTTTCATGCTTTTCCGTGTAGAGGGGTATGCACGGAAGAGGTTATATGCCGTAAGGGTTAAATGCCACGGAATGTTTAAAGGGAAGATCTGGATCTGGATGGGTCGGGATGAACAACTGTGTTGTTTTTTTATTTTTTTTATTTTTATTTTATTTTTATTTTTATTACATTTGGTCCTAAGCTAACGCTATCTTTTCCACATTGGGTCAAGGACCGGTGGAGCCGGCAAGGATCACTGCGTACAGGCCCAACTCATTCCAACCGCATGAACTTCTACTGAAATTGTAGAAATTAACAGCAAAACTAAAATCAAAAACATAAATCAAAAACTGAAATCAAATTTGAAAGAAATACTGTTTGGTCCGGATCCCGCACTTCTCGCCCGTTCCCTTTCCTGCCACATCTTCCAGGTGACTTTTTCTTATCTCCGCTGAGAGCGAAAGACTAGTTCGCAGATACCCTGAATTCAGCTGGTATCCTGCTATATATTTTGAAGCCATCTGTAGACTTCACCGAGGGTTGCTGTACCCTCAAACTTCTTCTTCGGATTCCAGGGTTCCGAAACCCGATCCCTCGGCCATCGAGACATCCTTCGTTGAGGCCATCGTTGCCTCTTCGGCCCTTTTGGCTGCAGCCCTAAATCGTGCCACTTTCGCAAACTCCCCTTGCTGGATCTGGCGGATCCGCGCGAGCTGCTCTTTTGTCACCGGTCCGGACTTGCTGGGTCTGGCTAAGCAGGCCCGGGAATCCGGTCGGTGAGGTCCCCCACAGTTTCGACACCGGGTGAGGGCCTTGCACTCTGATTCTGAGTGCATATTAGATCCGCAATTCCAGCAAGCTGGAGCGCGGGAACAACCACGGGTGGCGTGAAATTCAAGACACCGTTTGCATTGTTCGATTTTGCGACGAGGTCGGAAGAGCTTTGCAGCTCCAGAGTCGTCGAAAAGGCGGAATCCAGGTCGAGGAGCGGATTCTCGGGGAAATAGCGCTTGCCAATTTGAGTAGGGCGCCCCTGGTTTGCTAGTCCCATGAGGACGAACCAGAAAGGGAACCAACTGGGTCACTCGCGTGACTTCGTCGGCAACCATCTTTGCCGTCACGGCGATTGGGCCAGCAAGAGTTCGAATTGTCTCCGGGACGGTGGCAATTTGCATGGCAACCAGATTTGATGCTGGTTCCAGTTTGATTCCAGATTCGCTCCGTGATGTGGAGGAATCTAGGAGCTCTGTTCGAGCGAGTTCATCCTTTGCGGTTATTGCAAAGCCGGTCTTTACCCGCTGAACCAACGTGATATTGTTGGCAGCGGTTCCCAGCGCCTGAGA